GCATCATGGGGGAAGGGTGTAGCCCACTGGTAGGGTATTTGTCTAGCATGATGGAAGTCCTAGGTTTGATCCCCAATACCAATCCCTGAAGTTTTGAAATGATAACTATTCAAGGTTTTGCATCAAGATATTCATCCCCGGGGTGGTGGTGGAGGGGGGGGGGGTGTTGAGAGGGGCTAGAGAGAGAAGAGCCATGGGAACTGCATATTCACTTTCTTGACATATTTCTGCATTTGAGGTTTTGCTGTGAACGTTTTTGGTAATTTAAAAGTAAAATGTAATGCTTCACTCTAAGTCAATAATTCTTACATTAGAAATCTGAAAATTCATAAAAGGTAGAAAAATGTAACAAAAGCCTTTCTCCCCATGACCCAGTGATTCCTGGGAGTTTTCAATAAAGGGTAAAACAACTTCAGCGGGAGGTAATGTAGCAGACAAGATGGGTAAATAAGATGACAGGAGGGACCTGGCTTTGTCTCTTTACATCCCTAGCCACTTTCTGCTTGACCCTGGGGCGGCCATTTACTCGTGCTGAGGTCCACTTACATTTTCCCATTCTGTGGGAAATGCTGACCTGCTCCTCTGGAGAAGAGGGCTACAGAGATAGAATGCTAGAATGTTCTGCCTAAATGGGAAGTGCCACTGTTAGAGTGACCATGGATGCATGTCAGGAGTTCAGTATCTCAGGGCTGGAGAGATGGCTCAGTGGTTAAGAGCACTAACTGTTCTTGGAGGACCCAGGTTCAATTCCTAGCACCCATTAGAAAAAAAAAAGAGTTCAGTGTCTCAGAGGACCAACCAAAAAAAGGGGATTGTTCTTTAGATACCATAACAAGGAGTTGGATGGGCATGAAATAGTTAAAATGTGAAGATCTATGCCCTCTGGTAGAAAGTGTGTGTGTGTGTGTGTGTGTGTATGTGTGTGTGTGTGTGTGTGTGTGTGTGTGTGTGTGTGTGTTTGTGTGTGTTTGTTTGTGTGTCTGTCTGCCCACACATGCATGCTCATGTGTATAAAGCTTAAAACCATTTAAGATAGCATAATAAACAGAACACTGAAATCTGAAGAAGGAATTTGAAATAATGGAGAAATTCTATTTGGGAAGCAGTAAGAGATGAAGCAAAGCCGGCCATGGAGGCTCACACCTTTAATCTAAGCACTCGGGAGGCAGAGGCAGAGGATCTCTGTGGGTTCAAAGCCAGCCTGTTCTACAGGGTGAGTTCCAGGACAGTCAGGGCTACACAGAAAAACCCTGTCTTGAAAAAACAGAAGTGAAGTGGGAAAGAGGTAGGGAAAGAAGTGGGTAAGATACTGAGTGGATAAAGGCACCAAGGCTGGTAATAATAATCTAAGTTCAAGAATGACATAAATTTAATCCCCAGGACTCACATGATGGAAAAAGAGAACTGACTCCTGCAAATTGTCCTCTGACCTCCACATGCGTGCCAACACACACACACACACACACACACACACACACACACACACACACACGAATATAATAACAAGAAGCTAGAAGAAGAGAGAACATTAGGTATTATTGTTATTAAGTTCAAAGAGATTTCCTTCATGAAAAATAACGTCCCTATTTGATGGGGATGAGGTTCCTTTTGAAGGCAAGGTCAAGAGGCACAAGATGAAACTGCACTATCACCATCCAGTACGGAGCCCTGCAGTCCCTAGTAGCTGGAGCTGTGAGGCAGCTTGGCTAATGAGAAAACCCCATCAGCTGCCAACGCCTCAGGGGCCGTCTCTTCCTGTCTGGCAAGCAGTACACAGAGCTCAAAGCAGAGCAGGAGCCTAGAAGGTCATTTGGGTCATTTCTTTTTCAAGCTCCCTTCCAGGCCTTTTCTGAAACAGGCACACAGGGGTTCGTTTTCACTACAATAGAAGCAATGGACTTCACGCTTTACCCTCGGGTAGGTTTTTAATGAAACGTAAAGATTTCTTCATACACAGGGCCCACCTTTGGCAGTGAAGGAGAGGAGGAGCTGGGCCAAACACAGCCAAGCTGCATCCTCTTATTTATTCCTCCAGCATGAAAGGCGCAATTGTAAAACTCCGATGAAACCAGAAGTTAAGCTTCAGGACTCCCAGCATAAACATTTGGCCTGTCATTAAGTTCACTTTCACCAGCTCGACAAAGAAACACAATCCACCCATTGTTCCACGGATGTTGGTGTAGTTCAGTGGCCTTGTCTGCAGAGGGTTCAAGTTGAAGTTAGGTTGTCTCCATTATGCCCTTTCTGATCTTTTTTTTTTTTTAAAGTACCCCTTTTCAGCATCTGTAAAGCCACTGTTAAAGTGTGCCTGGTCTATCACGACAGCCTTGGATCTGACCTGTATCCACCTGTGCCCCCTTCAGTCCATTCTACTACAAGTCTTTTTCTAAGCTAGCTATTCATTACTTCTCTCCTCAAAGTCTTCCTGTGACATCCAGAGTCATTTGTTATATTCCCCACAGCTCACCTTGCCTGTGGCCACATCTCTGGTGGCTTTACCTAAACCTATTCTGTCTTCTGGTTCTGAGTTCCAACCACTGAGGACGATTTGTAGCTTCTCAAAAAAAAAAAAAAATGCAAACTGGAGGGCTGGGGATGTAGCACAGTGGCCCAGCCCTTGCCTACAATGCTTAAGGCCCCGGGTTTGATCCCCAGTATAAAAAGGAAGGAAGGAAGGAAGGAAGGAAGGAAGGAAGGAAGGAAGGAAGGAAGGAAGGAAGGAAGGAAGGAAGGAGTGGAGGGTGGGAGGGAGGGAGGGAGAGAGAGAGAAAGGGTTTGGGAGATGGCTCAGTTGGTAAATTGCCTGCCACCAAAGCATGAGGACCTGAGTTGAGATCCCTAGACCCCATTTGAACACCCAAAAGGGAGAGGGTCTGGGGACAGATGGGGACCCCTGAAGCTCATCGGCCAGCCAGCTTAACTAAATTTATGAGTTTCAAGTTCAATGAGAGGCACCATCTTGAAAAATAAAGGTGGAGAATGACTGAGAAATGACACCCATCGCCTGTTTCTTGCCTCGCAGGTATACGTGCATACCCGTATGCATATGTGTGCAAACCTACACTGCCAAGTACACATACAACACACACACACACACACACACACACACACACACACACACACACACACACACACACACACACACTGAAACACTTGAAAATTTCTAGCTTAACTTTGTGGCTAGAGTACCTCTTTGCTGCTTACTATCTGTTCCAAGATGCAGCTGGACCAGGTGTCATCGCCAGGATCACCCTCTAACTTCTCTTAGGTTATGTATGCTTTCCTCCACTCTGGCTCTACATGGGATTTACTTCCATCCTTCTACCATGACCCCTTACCCTAACTGGCTAAGTACAGGCCTGTCTCTGTGACTCACCTGGGAAACACCTGGAGTTTCCTACAACTGTATTCCTAAAATCCTGTAACCTATCCATCACACCATCCAGCATGCCTGGCATGGATTGATGCTCCATGTGTGTCTTAGAGTTATTGCTGTGACAAAACACCATGGTGGTTTTCCTATGGTTCTGACCTCTCCATAATTCTGGGGTCAACTCAGTTGCACCTTCACAGATAGCCTCTCCTAGGCTCTCTTTGAGGACTCTGATCTATCCACATAGTAGCAAGTCTCAACTTCTCTCCATGAACTCTTCAGTCTTGGGACTTATACTTCAACTGAAGCTGCACATTCACTCGTGGCCTTACTTAGCTTCCCATGAGTCCAACCTTTAGCTGCACTTGACTTCATGCCTTCAAAACCAGTACCACCTGGGAGACTCTTAAGAACACATGGCCAAGTTTGGCTGCCAGCATGAGGTCCAACCTTGGCCACCTCTGGAATACAGCTTCTCTGTGCTGACTCCAAGGACACGTTTCTCAGAAGATTTCACCTCAGTGATGCTGGTCTCTTCTTAATCACCACAAATTTCTTGACCCAGGGACCCACCATCAGTTAGTTGTCCTAGTAAAGCGGAGATTTCACTTCTGTGGTCTTGATCTCTTGTTAATCACAGCTGATTCTACAGCCCCAGTTGACCAGAACCGCAGCTTCTTAAACTCAAAACATCAAATGGCCCTAATAAAGTCTTTAAGGAACTCAAACTTTCCTCTGAAACTTCACATGCCAGACCCCCACAATTTATGCTACACAACATTATCTTCAAAGCTCCCATAGAACAACCCCACTGATCTCTGAGCACTGACTGACTTTTCCAGTCCAAAGTACCAAAGTCCTTCCACAATCCTCCCCAAAACAGAACGGTCAGGTCAGTCGCAGTCACTCTCTGCTATCAATTTCTGTCTTAGTTAGGATTACTATTTTTGTGATAAAACACTATAGCCAAAAACAACTTGGAGAGGGAAGGGTTTATTTAGCTTACCCTTCACCATCACAGTTGATCCTGGAAATATGTCAGGACAGGAACTCAAACAGAACAGGACCCTAGAGGCAGGAGTTGATGCAGAGACCATGGAGGGGTGCTGCTTACTGGCTTGCCCCTTAAGGCTTACTCAGCCTGTTTTCTTGTAGCACCCAGGACCACAAGCTTGGGAGTGGCACCATCCACAATGAGCTGGGTCCTCCTACATCAATCATCAATTAAGAAAATGCACCACAGTCTTGCCCCGGGCCAATATGGTGGAGGCATTTTCTCAATTGAGGTTCCCTCTCCCCAAAGGACTCTAGCTTGTGTCAAGTTGACATAAAACTAACCGACACAATGATTGTAATAGGAAAAAAAAGAATGTGTATTTTTTTAAACCGTCTTCATCCTGTTTGTGAACAAGTATGTATGTGTCTTTGTTTTGCCTGAGAAGACATGAGTCGATCATGTTCTGCCTGCTGTGTCCTCAGAAACACAGTGAAGATAAGTAAGGACAGATGGCAGTGGGGTCAGACCTAGGTTGGTTAACGACTCTCAACACGCCTACAGAATCACTAAGTGGCTGTGTCCTGGGTGGACTTAGAGGCGATATAAACGAAAACTCCTGTGTTGTTCCAGGCCAGCTGTTACCGGCAAACCGAAATACACCGAGTCCCATTGACCCTGACGCCATCCAGGTCCCTGTCGGGTATGAACCAGACCCAGCAGACCTTGCCCTCTCCAGTATCCCAGGGCAGGAAATGTTTGACCCTCGCAAACGCAAGTTCTCCGAGGAAGAACTGAAGCCACAGCCCATGATTAAGAAAGCTCGCAAAGTCTTCATCCCAGATGATTTGAAGGTAAATTGGAACTGGTAATCAGGCTGTGGGTAGATGGAAAGCAGGATTAGGAGAAATTAAAGGGGTGATTCCAGGAAGGCTGCACACACTTGGAAAGGGAGGGCCTGTGAGTTCTGATTATGTTTGTTGGCATGTGACTTCTTGGCATGGTACTTCCTCTCTAGGAGTTTTCTGAAATATGCTTTCATGTCTTGATACTGATCAGAAATAAGGAGAAGCAGTAAAAGGCTGGAGAGATGTTAAGTTCCCACAGGAAGCAAACTGGCTCCTCTTTACAAGGGATCCCATGAGCCCATGTATCAAGCCCAAATCTTTCAAGGTTGCAAAGGAAAAGAAAAAAAAAAAGATGATTTGGAAAGGGAACCTGGGTCTCAGTTTTCTGAGGTGTACCTTCTTTGTTCATTGTTTGTTGATAGTGAGCACTACCATTTCCCTGAGTGCCTTGGAGACTAAACAAGTCTGAACCCCCCCCCCTCCATATTGCTGACTCAGGGCCACCAGGATGGCATCTTGTGGGCAGAGATGGGGGATCCACTGCTATCATTTGTCTGTCATGTAAGGTTCTCTTGATGTTAGCTCAGCAGTTAGTTCTGAGTGGGTTTTCTCAACAGTGTTGAAGGGCATGCAGCATTTATCCAGGGAAAGAGATTTGCCTGTTTATTCTGATACATTTACCTTAGGATAAGAGATATTCCTGAAATTATGCCAGCACAGAACTATGTGTGATTAGCCATTGCATAGGACTTTTTCTGTTCATGCTTCTTTCTAATCATGAGAACAATAAATTATTATATGTATGCAAGGCATTAAGACCAAGCATAATTAGCCCTTTTTGATACCCAATCCTCATTGCCCAACCATAAATATGCTTCATATGTAGAGACACTCTCTAGGAAAATGAGAGTCTGGGACACTGTGTGAACTGATGAAGGCCAGTCTTTCCACCTGTGTGTATCTAGAAAGAACACAGGAGGCAGATGTGCCCAGAAGATCTAAAGACAGCTGTTATCCTCACATATATCTCACATCTGAGAACTCCTTAATTGCTGCAGAATGGGCAAGTGTCAGGGCTGAAGTCCAAAGTTACCACTTTACAGTGGAGGATATAGAGAATCAGAAAGGGGAACTGAGGTGAACTTTAGAGTAAGACAGATTCTGGAAAGGTCACTGTAGCATATTAACCCAGACAAGGGACCCTTGCATAACAAACCAAGAGTTGTCACCCTAAGAATCAAAACCAAGACCGTCTATAGGAAAAATCCCAGGAAATCTAAACTTCTCAGGGCTTTGATGGTTAGATTGTAAGGGGCCACAGGATTAGGTCCAAGTCGAGTTAAACACCTTATTACAGTTGGATGCCTTCAGGGGTTTTGAGTTCTTAGTCATCTAATTCTCTGTATTTCAGAGTTTTAGCCCTTCACCTAAACCAGGAAGCCTAGTCAGCTGGGGCTACTTCTTGACTGGAAGGTGGTTTGACAGGATGCTACTGAGCAGTAGATTGAACTTCTAGCCAAACCTTCACAGAGTCTCCAAGTTTGCATGTTGGAAGAGTGAGCCTACTTAATGGCCCGTGTGCTCTTGGCAGCAAAGAGGCTGTGCTAAACCATCTGTGCTGGAATGATGCGTATTGCTTCTGTCATGGCTGAGCCCGCCCTTTCCACATGGTGGGTAGGGAACTGGCAGGAACCTTCTCTTTCAATGTGCCCTTAGGGGTTTTTTTACAATTGCAGGTGAAGCCACCAGGCACAAATCTGGAGCTGCTGAGAAGCAGGAAGAAGTGGTGTTCTTTCACAGAGAGGACAGGGCTGGGGTGGGTGGGAGACAAGGTGCATGTGGCCTTCAGCACTGGATGACAGAGCAATAGAGTTGGGTGGGACCTACCAAGAATGGTTTTCCCCACCAGTGCTTGGTTTTCTTCTTTGAAGTTGGCCTGTTGGGCTGGCATAAATACTGAGGGAGAGCTAAACAGGGACATATGGGGGCTCCTAACTGATCACACACAGTCACATCTATTTCTTACCACTCTTAAGGGGCATTCATTCCCTTGACAGACATCTTTCAGAGATGTAGGCTAAAGTAAGCCAACACCAACACTGTATTTGGGGTCATGGAAATTCTAGTCTGTAGAGAAGAGGGGAGTGTCTGTTAGAAGTGGGTGGGATGAGTAGGTCCCTGCTGTGTGATGGTACCTGGGTAGCCAGATAGCATCAGCTCCTGGCAGGGACAGGATGGAACGGGGAACCCTGTGCCAAGTCTGTCATTCCTACTAGAGATCCTGCCTCCCTGTCTCTAGTCAGAATGATGAAAGGAGCAAGATGGTTTTTCTAGGCCAGGGCATTCCTTCTTCCATCATTCCCATCTCTTCCATCCTGTCTTACAGCTCTGTTCTCTGCTTCCCTCCCACTTAAGAGCTTTCTTCTCCATTCCACATTTCTGCTAGCTCATCTGCACGTGTGGGCAGATGAGGCTGGGAAAAAAAAAAAAGCACCTTACATGTGATAAGAGGTCTGAACAAAAACTGAGTTAAACCTGAAGAGAATTGAGGAAGAAGAGTTGGTTGTTACACTAAGGCCATTCGGCGACATCGTGGTCCTTAAAGACATGGTCAGAATTGTCACAGAGTGCCCAATCCATTCTACCACTTCCCAAGGGCTTGCTCTCATGTACAGCCTCACCTTGTGCCCTCATGTTCCCCTGTGTGTAGGTTCTGATCCATTCTGACTCAGCCCTCCATCGGAATGTGCTTGGAAACCATACTCCTGGGCACACTGACAAGTGTGGTGGCTTTCCTGATACTATAAAGGGGTGGAATGGAGGATGACCACGAGTGAGCCAAATGGCCGCCATCAAAGCTGGGTGCTTGACTGTTCGGAAGATACCTCTGGTTCCCCTCGCCTGGGTGATGTCACTGGGTTACCCAGGACCTCCCAGCCAGTCTCCTTTTCTGCCATTCCCACCAGCTTTGAGAAGCACAAACAACAAATTCTGTCACCAGCCACAGCATACCTGTCCACACTTGCTCATCTAGGTATTCCCCAAAGGGCTGCCTCCTCCCAAGGAAGAATTCTCATATCAGCTATTCTGAAGATCACTTTTTCCTCCTGTGACACATTATGAAATATATAGAAGTGCAGAGACACTTTATGAACAAAGGACAATCTTGTGACCAGCAGACAGGAAGTACCTTCACACGTTTTCCTTCTCACACACTGTCTTCGCGAAAGGTACATGTCTGCTGAGGATAATGGACAAGTGTAGGGGCAGACCACTGATCCTGGCTGCCTTTTGCAGCCTTGAGCCCCACCTCTGTGAGTGACTTCTTCCGATACTAACTGTCTCTTGGCATCCTGAGAGAGGGGAGGGACTGGCCTCACCCATTTATTCTAGGTGACATAAAGTAGCAGCTTTGCTAAGACAGAGGTATTCGCTGTAGCACATTGTTGATACAAAAGGAGTTAGAAACTTTCTTTTGGCACCATCTCATCGATGGATTAAGAAGGTCAAAAAGATCCCCCTCTGTCTTCCTAGGAGCTTTTCTTTGTCTTGGTAGAGAGAGAAATGATGGAGGCATATATGGGAATTCCAGATAGGGTAACTGAAGCCCAGTAAGCAGTTACGTAGGAAATTAGAATACATTATTTAAATGTTAGCCATTGGTAGAAGTCCACTGAGTAATGAAAGCTAATACATTTTTTTTTTCATTTCTGTTTTCAATTACCAAAGTGTACATGCCCCTTATGTGACATTCTGATAGCTCAGGATGTATAAACTGAAAGGGTAAGAGATCTTCCTTTTGTCTGTTGCCTCACTGGTTTGGTCATTCTTATTAAAGGCACCTATATTGGCCACTATAAAGCCATCTGGGCCTCCCACTATTAGTAAAGTATAGTTTTAATCGAACTGTGATAAACATGCATGTTCTCCAGCAGGTTGCTGTAATTTCTACCCACATCATAGTGTATCGCACACATCTGTGCAGTATCCCCCCACAACAGGTCTTTATTTTTAACAACTGTAGAATATCCCTTTGTGTGACTCTATGATAATGTAGTTATGGACTCTACTAGAGATGATTAGTTATTCTCATTTTTAGCTTTTACAAACAATCCTATAATAAACAACTGCACCTGTGTCTGCATACGTGGAGAATGTGAGATGAAATCATAGAGGTGGAGTTGCTACATCAACAGTGTATTCATGAAGATAGATTTTAGAGATTTTTAGCATGATATGGTGCTAAGTGGTCAATGATAGGAGGATGAGGAGTTCAAGGCCACCCTTAGCTACATAGTGAGTTCAAGACTAGCCTGGACTATGTAAGACCTGATCATAAGGGGTGGGGAGGTAATTTGTTAGTTAAAAAACAAAAATTATGTATGTATACTACTGAGAAATATCACCATATTGCCTTCCAGGAACAGGGTCCCAACTTATAGAAAAGCCTAGATATGTATTCACGGAAGAAAAAAATAAGTTTATAAAAAAGAAAACCTTTCAACCAAGAGAGTGAAGAAAATTGGAATGGAATTTAGGGTGTGTGGTGAGCTTCCAGCTTTCAGTCGAGCTCTGATCTCTGCTTTACTGGGCACAGTACTGCGTTGGGCAAAGCCTGTTGTGACAGGTCGGTCCTTTCTCTAGGAAGGAAGCCATGGCTGGCAAGACCATGCCCTCAGTCGTGTAGACGCTGTAAAGGAAGGAGACAGGAATTAAGAAAGCCAGGCTGGTGTCCCAGCACACCCCTGGCTGACACCCAGTGTGTGCGGCTGAAACCTAATACCTTGTTTCTTTTTTCCTTCTGTAACTAATGAGCAGGATGACAAGTACTGGGCGAGGCGCAGAAAGAACAATATGGCGGCCAAGCGCTCCCGGGATGCCCGGCGGCTGAAGGAGAACCAGATTGCCATCCGGGCCTCGTTCCTGGAGAAGGAGAACTCAGCCCTCCGCCAGGAGGTGGCTGATTTAAGGAAGGAGCTGGGCAAATGCAAGAACATACTTGCCAAGTACGAGGCCAGGCACGGGCCCCTGTAGGATGGCATTTTTGTGGGCTGGCTTTTGACTAGATGGACAGCTTGTTTCCTGTCTGGTAGCACCACACCCAAAACCAACCTTTCCGACATCAGCACTTTACCAGAGGCATAAACGCAAACTGACTCATACTTTGGTGTGCATCTGTGTGTATGTGTGTGTGTGTGTGTGTGTGTGTGTGTGTGTGTGTGTGTGTGTACACGTGCTTATGGTCCCATGTGTGGTCAGCGGTGTGCATGTGTGCGTGTGTGTATGTGTGTGTATTCCTTCACATTTGCCATTTAAAGATAGTCCTCTTGTTGTCTTTTAGTTCCGAACAAGAAAGGTGCCATGTTTTTATTAGACTCTGGAGACTCCTCTGGGGTTTCCTCCCCTCCCTTCTCCACTCCTGCCCCTTTCCACCTTGCTTCATGTTCCAGTGAACTCACTTTTCCAGGGGCTGTGTGGGCTACAGGAAGCGGGGGCCCCTGATAAAGCAGTGGATCTCAGTTATCTAGAACATAAGCTCTTGTTTCTGTTTCAGCCACGAGTTACCATGCTAAAAAGGTGCACAGCATACCCTAGCACTACGCTGCAGCTGAATTCCTTCATAGGTTGCCCCCCTCCCCACCCCCATCTCTTTCTCTCCTACCCTTTCTCGTTTTCCTTTCAGTTTTGGTGATAATTGTCTTCAAATTTAAAGTGCTGTTTAGATTTAGTAGATCCCATATTTACTTACTGCTACCTACTAAGTTTCCTTTTAATTCTACCAACCCCAGATAAGTAAGTACCATTATAGAACACAGAGTGTGTTTTGCACTGTCTGTACCTAAAGCAATAATCCTAGTGTACGCTAGAGCATGCTGCCTGAGTATTACTAGTGGACGTAGGAAATTTTCCCTACCTAGGAATTTCACTGTCTTTTAAAAAAAATCAAAATTAAAGTAATGCATTTGCGCATGACCAGAATATTCTCAGGACAGGGAAGCAGAGGGCAATGGGAGGCCTAAGAATGAGGGGTTGATTTATCAGTATGTAAGCCAAAAATAATAATAATAATGCATCTTGGAGAAGCCTTTGCCATGGATGTGCTTCGTTTTGCTATCTCCCTTCTCCCACACCAGCTCATTCCCACTTTTCTAGTTAACATGTCCCTCTTGATATTCAAAACGATTGAATTACTTAAGATTCAGTTCACCCACTTTTTTTGTAATGTATATTTTGGGGAGGATATTTTGCTGTTTTTAGAAATCAGTTAATTAAGTTAAAGGGTTGATGTTTTGTAAAGCCCCCTTCCCCCTGTGGTGTCCTTTTTGAATGCCTCACAGATCAATGATTCTGGAGCCTGTGTTTCTTACCTTCTGTTTGCTTTTGAACATATGTGCGCCTATCAAGTGGACTTCTGAAAAAATGAATGTAAAAGACACTGGTGTATCTCAGAAGGGGATGGTGTTGTCACAAACTGTGGTTTATCCAATCAATTTAAATGTTTACTATAGACCAAAAGGAGAGATTATTAAATTGTTTAATGTTTATACAGAGTAATTATAGGAAGTTCTTTTTTGTACAGTATTTTTCAGATATAAATACTGACAATGTATTTTGGAAGACATATATTATATATAGAAAAGAGAAAAAAGGAAAACTATTCCATGTTTTAAAATTATATAGCAAAGATATATATTCACCAATGCTGTTCAGAGGAGTGCTTGGGGGTTTTGAAGTCTTTAATATTTTAAACCTATTACTGACACATCAGCATGTTTTCTGCTTAAAATTAAAATTTTATGACAATATTGAGGCTTGCTGTGACGAATCCTGCTCCAACACTTTCTTGTTTCTTATTAGGTCTCAGAAGGAAGTCAGTTAATGTCACCCAAAAGCACAAAATGGGTTTTAGTCAAATATTTATTGGATGATACAGTGTTTTTTAGGAAAAGCATCTGCCACATAAATGTTCACTTCAGAATTCTGAGTTGCTGGATTGGAGTGTTGTTGCCAGAGCCCCAAATGCTTTGGTTCTCTTTTGGCCTGTGCATCTCAGGCAATGCAAGGTTGACCTCGGTGCTATGTGTATGGCTTACGATTTGATAGATGTTTTGACTATGAAGATGGTTGTTCTTTTGTTTCACTGAGTTGTATAATGTCAAGAGAGTCTGCTGCTGCTTCAAAGGCACATTTTGTGCTTGATTAAAATCCCCTTTCATCCATGGATGTTTTCCAGTTTCCTTGCCTCCACAGTATCTGAATTCTCTGCAGATCTGGTGATGCCCTTCTCTTTCCATCAGCCACTCTTCTGTCTAGTGTCAGAGTTCTGGAACATGAGACCTTTAGGATTTAGTCCCAGGTACCTGTTTTGTTCCAAGCCACAGATAATGGCAGAAGATGAGAGAATATGAGACTTGCAATACATTTTCCAAGTAAATTACTAATAAAAAAATACTTCGACAGCCTCCCATAGAACTGAATAAGAGATGATTCAGTAATAGCCATGAGATGACAAAGAGTTGGTCTTTTTGAAGATAAAGAGGCTGATTGCAGAACTGCTCAATGACAGTATTCATCAGAGCAAAGATGAATATATTTAAACTTAAGTAGAGAAGTGTTGAAGTGTTGTACTATAGACCATCCAGATTCAAATGGGACTGTTAAGTGGTAACTGACAGAAGAGCATACCTGGTCTTTCTTGGAATTGTTTGTACCAAATGAACCTTACAAATGTTTTCTGCAGAAGACATAAAAAGATCATAATAAAGCTTATTCTTTTGTATGCCAGGGAAGGTTTTAGGAACTTACCTCATTCAAAACAAAACAAACCACCACCACTTTGGAGTCTCCACAGGTGCCTTATATATAGGTCATTATCACCCCCTCCTTCCCCTGGCAGACTTCTGTCTGTCTGGAGACATTAAAACAATGATGCTCAGTGTCCCAAGAAGCTAGGGCCCAGGGTCAGATGATTACAGCAGATCGCAGCCATTAGGAAAGTTCTGTTTTCAACAGTCACCATTTCAACCTAGGCATCTTTCAATGATTATTTGGCCATTAAAAATGCATCCAAGCTGCAACATGCTATGTGATCTAGACATAATTTGGAATGAACAGTATAGCACTTCCTTACCAGGTCATGTCATCTCATTTTTCAACTATTTTCAAAGAAAGTAAAAAGCAAAAAACAAAAACGAATCAGTGTGTCTCTCTGCTCATGCTACCTTGAAGGAATGGGAGGGTTATAAATAAAAGTCTCGACTCTAGAGGAAGTGATACTTTGGACCATTCACAAACCACATCAGGCATGGCTGAGCTAGGCCTTTGTCTGTCAATAATAACAGGCCTTTAAAGAACCATCCCTTGAAGCAGAAGGACCCTGTGTCTGAGAAAGTCAGAATGGAATTCAGTCACTGGCTGAGTGGGAACTAGATTAGAGAACCCAGAGGTTCCTTCTAACCCATTATCTTACTGTGGGAACTTACATTAATTCTAAATATACCTTTGAAAGGGCTGTAGCCTTGTTTTGGGGAGAGCTGTGGAGGGTGGCAGGGGGACAAAGTTGTAGATGGCAACTTCTCTCCTGCCCAAGGGTGAAGCGATTAACATTGTACAACATACAAGTTAGATGTTGATGTTTCTAAGAGTTAATCTGTTTGTCCCTGTTGTTCCTTTGAGGAAAAACTGAAACTTTGTCAGAGTTAAATATGAGGTCCGCAAGCCTACTGAACTGTGTGTGGCCTGTCTCCATGGGCCAGGATTTAACTTGGAGGTTGGTCCCCAGCAGGTGACTGAGCTGAGGTGTGATGCCTTCCCTGTGGTAGATACCTTCCACTCTGGCTCTGAAGGTACTTGTTTCCTGCTGAGGGCTCCTCAGGACATCCCTCTGGTGAAGCCAAATTCAACTCCAGATGTTTGGTAAAATCAGTGTCATGAACAAATGAACAAAACCATAGGTCTTGACGGATTAAAGTTTTAGTAACTACAGCCAATGCATTTTGCCAAAATGTACGCAAAGCAATGTGTGTTTGTGTATGGATATTTAAGTGGAGACATAAAATCTGTAAATTTTTTAGCACCTCACCAGATGTAACAATTAGCTATTATCCTTCCGGCAACACCACAAAGATCGCATCTGTTAAACAGGTTCAAGTTAGCTGGAGATTAGTGTAATTGTACACCATGACGTAGGTGGTATTTATGCTGTCAAGTCCAAAACTTTATTTGTTCTTCTAAATGTTTAATAAACTGATTTTTTTCCTTTTTTCATGTACTTTTTTTCAACAGCCGACTAGCAGCTGATTGTTTCAGTCAACATAACCGATAGTTCATTTGCAGAGATTTGAAGAGATGTTAATTGTACTATATAATTAGTAATAAAGTATCATTTATGGATGACTTATGTACCAAATACTGCACCATACACATGGTTCCAAAATAACCAACGAAGTAACAATTGTTACAGAAGAGGACATGACAGTGTAAGCAAGTTAAGAAACTTACATAAGGAGATGGAGAGCTGGCTCAGTGCTTAAGAGCTATGGCTGCTTTTCCAGAGGACCCAGGTTCAATTTCCCACACCCACATGGCAGCTCACAACCACCTATAACTCCAGTTCCAGGAGATCTGATACCTTCTTCTGGCCTTTGTGGGTGCAGACGTTTATACAGGCAAAACTTAACAGTACACATAAAATAAAAATTTAAAAACAAAATAAAACCAAAACATTCTCAAAGTGATAAGCATAGTAGCTACAGAAATGAGTACTGATCTGCTGACTAGGTACCATATACAGGGAGATCACAAAAGCTCGTCTGGGTCTGTGTTCTTGTTGGGTAAACAAAATCACACAGGGACATATTATAGTGGCTCAGACCAAGCAATTATGAAGCTAGTTTGAGTTGGGGTCCAGAAATCGGAATTTTTTTTTAGTGCCCCCAGCTAATTGCCACATATGATCAAGCGTAGTTGACCTTCCAGATCTGAAGGGCTTGGTTCAGGACCCTCAACGGTGACTGAAATCTGTGATGCGCAAGTCCTTTATATAATACGGTGCGGTGTTTGCATGTAACCTGTATTTATACCCTCCAACTGATGCTGTAATTCACCTCTGTGGTACCTATACCTACCACAATGTAAACGTTATATAAGAGGATGTATTTATAGGGAATGATGAAGAGGGGAAAAGTCTGTGCATGTGCAGTGTAGACGCAACCATCCCAAGCCCACTACACAGCATAGAAGAGCAGCATCCAGGTTGAGCCTTGCTCAAGTACTCTCTCAGACATCAGTTTTCAGGAAAGGAAAGCATATGTATAGGTGGCGGAAACGCCTTTAAACTTTGCCTGTGCGCATGTGTTTCTTGGGAATACTTTGTCTTCCACCAGGTGCGGCAGTTTGACAGTTAGCTAATCCCTGTGCACACTCAAAGTTTGCCAAGTCCTCCTCGAAATGATGGAGAGGTGCTAAAGAGACCAGCGCAGTAGTGAAAGACAGGCTTATAAAGGCCTTTGTGTTCCTTCGACGTCCTCAGACTTCCCAGGTCTTGACCTTCCCAGTGCCTCATTGTTCAAATTCCCTTAAAATCAATAGCCCTAGAATTACCCTCTCCAACTCCACCCTTTAAAGGGCTAATCTGAGAGGAGTTCAGTTTCTTATAACCAGTTCTTCCCAGCTGGTAACTTTATAGTTAATATTTCTGAATTGGCGTATTGATGTTATTTGATGTTATTTGAATATCATTTACATTACACCACCAGATTTTATACACACACACACACACATATCACTTGTCAAATATATAATACCCAGCAAATATGAGTTGCTCCCCCATACTGTCCAGTCCTCTCTCCTTTTCTTTGGACATTCCAAATGATAGATAAGAAGCCTCTAGAATTAACTGGCTCAAGATTAGTGTCCTCTGTCTGGCCTTTGAAAATCAAATGAGTACCAGGAGGGGCATAAAGAAACAAAAAGCCCATTTAGCCATTTCTCCCTCAGGCTAGAGTCACATGCAAGGTTTCTCTCTTAAATGTATTAGAGGACAGGAAGTGGATTAATGGTCCGGCCATCTCTGTATATCCGTTATGATCCCTATATCTGTCATGTCCACCCATCACAGACTCATGGATTGATGTGTGGTCACCAGCTGCTGAAGCTATGCTTGGAGGTTTCAAAATCTCTGGGAGCTGGGACCTAGAGGAAAGATGTAAGTCACTGGGATGGATGCTTAGAGGTACTGTTTCTCGCCTTCCTCCACCAACCCCTGCCTTCCTGTCTGAGGTGAACTCCTCTGTCTGCTGCACATTTCTGCAGCCATATTGTTTTGCCAAGCACAAGGACCAAGTGACCACGGGCCAGATGCTCGGCAACCATCAAGCAAAATAATTGCTACCTTCTTTATATCTGTTGTCTATCTGGTCATCTCAGTGAGAAAAGTAATATACCTCTGTGATGGTTAATGTCAACTGTCAACCTCATGACATGTAGAATTATCTGAGAGATGAGTCTCTGGGCACACCTTTGAGGGAGTACCTTAGCTAGGTTAATGGAGGTGGGAAGATCCACCTGCCCACCATAGTGGCACCATTCCATGGGATGGGATCCTGGACTATGAGCTGAGCAGGCATTCATCACTCTCCATTTTTGACTACGGATGTAACATGGCCAGTGGCTTCAAGTTCCTGTGACTGTCCTGCTGGGATAGACTGAACCCTGGTGGTAATAATAAACTCTTCCTGCCTAAGTTGCTATTGTCTGAATATTTTATCACAATAACTCGAAAAAGGACAAAGACAGCCTCCTAACAGTCATTACCCTCCACTCCCAAGATAAGTAAGTACTGTGGGCTTCTCTCCCAAAGGCACTCCAATTTTGTATATGCACAAGCAAAAAGAGTGCTTTTTTTTTTTTTTTTTTTTTTTTTTTGGCTAACATAGTTTTGTTTCGGCTCTGTAACCTCTCCACTCAGAGTGCAGCCACCAAGCCTCTTCCAGGAAGAACCCCCAAACCACTACTGAAAATGAGTTCCCAGATACAAAAGACGTCTGTGCCCTAGAGTTGAACCTGCAGTCACCAGCCAATTAGAAACTGTACAGTTTTCCTGGGAAGTAGGCTGGGTGGACTTCTAGCATGAGTCACAAAGCACAGATGCAATCCAGTTTCATTCCCCAGAAATCAGTTGTCTTTTTGTTGAGATCTTTTCAGGATCTCACGTCTTGGAAAGGGGCAAGAGGGAAGAGGGGAAGTGGGTCTTCCCATGAACTTCTTCGAGGAAGCAGCAGTGGAGAAGGGAGCAGGGAGGCGGCCTGCTCCCTTCCCTGTGATGAGGATCCCGCCATGTCTGAATATCACTGTGTAAGATGAATGACATTCTCTCACCTGGTTTTCATCACAGCCCTTTCAGGAACTCTGGGAGGTATTCAGGGCCGAACAAACAAAGAAACAGATTTCACGATGGCAAGCCTCACCCAAAGGTCTGAGAAGTGGGACAGCCCTCTGTGGCAAGGCCAGCTGACATCTCTTTATTCCTAAGGGGGTGCATCCTGACCCAGCCTCCTTCCCTGTGGGTCTGGGCAGGGGCGGCGGGATGGCGGGGGAGGAGGGGGAAGGTCACGTGTCATTTTCAGTCCTATGAACACACACTCAGATGTCCTCAGCCATAACTAAATAATCTCAAATAAATTTAAGAAAATGAATGCCGGAAGCAGTTTGCACCCCTAGCAGTTTATCCCTAGCCTGCACCCCAGTGCTTTTCCACCCACTACCCCTGAAATGGAAGATTCTGATTTGCAAAGGAGATGACAATTTGGGGCTGACTCCATCCGAGACAGGGCTGCCTTCTCCAAAATGAACCTCCTTCACCTGGAATCTAGTTCTCCCTAATTTTTCTGTTCAGAACTTTGCCGTTAAAAGGGGTGTTCTTTGACAAAGCTTCCTGGCAATGCCTCGCCCTGTCTGCAGCTGCCTACCTCTTAACCGGACAGCACTGCAGAGCCCTGTGATCCTTCTTTCAGGTCGCCTTCTCCCACAGCTACAGACAGGAGTGGAGACACAGAAGAGACTCATGAAAGAACTCTTAGAAGACCAAAGGCTTTTCGTTCTTTTGAATGAAGATGACACTTAGAAGTAGGGGGATGCAGTTTGAAAGAGGAGACAGGTGGGTGTACAGAAAGAAGATGAGCCGTTCCTTGGTCTCCCAGCTCCCGGTAGGAGCCTTGGATCTGAGATATTTGTGTGCTGAGAGCCCTTCTCCCTCTCAATCGTACTGTCTTTCATCTCCCCTTTCCCTTTCTTCTCTGCTCCCTGGCTTTCACTCTTCTCTCCCCCTGTGTGCAGGGAGATAACTGCCCATGGACAAGAGGTGGGAAAGTGAGGATGAGATTCATGTCTCCATGCAGAGGATGGCCAAGAGGAAAGGCCAGAGGGCAGCCAAGACCTCCTGGCCCTCTGACAGTGATCTTATTATATACATGCCATGGTTTTGAGACCCATTCACCAAAACGTCAATATATTTTCCCATCTTCAAATACTGACCTCCTAGCATCACAACGTAATGTTGGAATCAGAAGGTGCACTTTCTAGATTCCGTTTATCAAATCCCTCCACTCTCTGGATGAGAAGTCTGTGGTCTTGAGAAGAAAGGTGACTTGCAGAACGTGGCACACAGTTACACACAATTGTATTCCAGCAGCCCCTGCTTTCCAGCCCAGTGGTTAATGCGGTGCCCTCTCTTTCTTCTTCGGCTATTTCCCTATACTAGACCCAAAGCATGAAACTGGCCTCATTCTTGTTTTGCAGATGGAGAAATGAGCACAGGAAGACCTTCATCCCTTCTGTCCACTCTCTCCTAGGATGGAGTATTCGCTCTAAATATCTAAATCCTGCCCACTCTTCATTATAAATTGAAATCACTTTCTCTGAAATGTTCTGTAGTCTCCCATGTTGCCAGTGGTTGCTCCCTCCTTAGAATTTCACCCATTTCCACTAAAGGCTGCTTATGTCCTTCTCTTGTGATGACTAACTGCCTATAATGTGGATTAAGTACATTGGTCCATAGTATAGTACGGGTCTAAAAGATGCCAGCATCTCTGAGGATGGAGACTCAATGCCTGAGACTGTGATTAAATCTAACCCTAACTACTTCATTGTGTGAGCTTTTTAAAAATGTGTTTCTGTTCTCACAGATTTGGTTTGCAAAGTTTTTTGTTTTGTTGTGTGTGTGTGTGTGTGTGTGTGTGTGTGTGTGTGTGTGTGTGTGTGTGTGTTTTGGGGGGGGGGAAACACAACAAACCCTTCTTGGCTTTTGACGAAGATTAAGTGAGAAACACAGTGAAGGATTGGGAGGATGGTTTAGTCAGTAAAATAATTGTCTTGCAAGAACCAGGACCTGATTTGGATCCCCCAGAAAGTACTAAAAACATTAATAAAATATATGATATATAGAAATGGAAAAGGCTGGGTGTGGGGTTGTACACTTGCAACCCCCGTTGGCCAGACGGCCTAGCTTACCTGACAAGTCCCAGACCAACAAAAAACCAAAACAAAACAAAACCAAACAAACCAAAAATCCCAAGGTGGATTACACTTAAGAAACAACTGAAGTTGGTCTCTTATCTCTAAATCCATGCGCACATATACGCTTGTACACATGTATACACAGGAACATGCACATACACACACACACACACACACACACACACACACACACACACACGAAACACAACAAGTTAGACAAGAATCTAACCTTGGAGCACCATTATTTATTGAAGTCTGCTTGCCATGTATAACCCAATCCTAGTGAAACAACCTCTCAAGGGATCACCCTCAACAGGTGCACACCAAAGGCTGGTGGTAGGCTGGGTCAGCCCCAGGTACAGGTAGTAAGAAGCCGATTGTTCAGAAGTGATTTTTGTTTTGTTCTGTCTTGTTGAAATAGGACTTCATGCATCCCAGACTGGCTCTTAACAAGTTATGTAGCTCAGGATGACACTGAAACCTCTTGTGGGCTACAAGAATATATTATAGAGACTCAGCTGTATATTAAAGCTATACTTAGAAATTTCAAGGCATTTTTTTCTAGAGTAAGCCATCTATCATGGAATATTTGGAGTTATTCAGTTTTTAATATTTTAGCTATCTTCTGCTATGAAATTCTTGTGGGCCCATATACTACTAGACTGTATTGACAAACTGTGTGAGCTTCTCAGATGCTGATCCACTAGGTAACACTCCTCCACAGAGCCTAGGAGACAGGCCGACTGTACAGCTTTGCTTCTTGTGCAAATGAAGCTCAGACCATCCCTTGCCTTCAGGCCTAGTGGCATTGCAGAGTGACTGACTGGGAGCAATAGGACTTTTTGCATAACCAGGTGTAGTAAGGACTGGAGCAGAATTCCAGAGGCAGGCAGAGAGCCACAGGGCAAGAAAAAAAAGAACAAGGAGAGTTTCTGTAGATGGTGAGGCAGAATGACTCAGGCTGAGGAGTGAGGAGCAAGGAAAAGTTTCTTGTAGATTGTAGGTGAATCAGCTCAGGAGAGGAGAAGAGGAAGGAAAGATGGAAGACAAAGGAACAGGGGACGAAGATGAGATCGAAAGCATAAGGGCTTAGTTATTACTAGGGCAATGAGGGGACAGAAAAAGTAGATACGGAGAGGAACTGAGGCTCAGGATGGAACTGAAGCTGTATAGATAGAATTTTGTCATAGAGGAATAAAGTAAATGGACAAAGGACATGGTGTATGTAGATTCTTTTCCCTCAGATAACCCCATGCTGGATGCAGTGTCTTCCCCAGGACTCTGGGAGAAATCTTCTCTGGGCAGGGACTTGGGAAAATTCCATTAGAACCCTTCATATTCCTGTGTCCACATTGTAAGTGCCACATTACATTACAGGAGTGTGCCATTATGCCTAGCTTGAAGTGATCTGAAATGAGATGATGTTAATATTCTTTGTTATCTGACCATTTTATCTTTTCTCAGGATAAACTTATCTAAACATTTACCAAATACAATCAGAATTGTGAAATTTCTGCTGAAGGTATTTTAGTGGAAAATTTTAGTTGTAGAAACTTGGAACACTGGTAGACTAGACCCCAGAGGAAAACAAAGACATTGGGAGTGTTGTAATTTGGGAGAATCTATCGGGAAATGGGATTTTTTTTTTTTTTAATGAATCACTGCTGATCTTGGGCACACATGAATATTCAAATTCTTCTTGGAAAATTCCTATTTGTAAACCTGTTGCTTTATGTGAACGAAAATCTTAGAAATTAGATTGTTGAGCATTCTCCAATTGCCCACACACGAAAAAAAGCTTGATGTGAAAAAAAAGCTACCCTGTCCAAAAACTGAATATGCTAAAAAGTGCAATTTTGACAGTCAGTCAGTCAAAAAATATACCTATGTTAAGGCATAAACATAAAACCTACAATAAAAATAGTTTTGAAACAGGCCAATACTCAAGTGTGAGTTTTTCCCTTTAAAAACGTACTAACAAGAGACTGGGGAGAAAGCCGAGTCAGTAATGTACACACCATACAAGCGTTAGGACCCAAGTTCTTCCCCAGGACCCATATAAAACCAAGTGTGGAGGCACACATTTGTAATCTCAGCACTGGGAAAGCAGACAGAAGCATCCCTGGGACTCAATGGCCAACCAGTCTAATCATCAAGCCCCAGGTACCAGGGAGAAGCTGTCTCAGAAATCAAGATGGATAACTCCTGAAGAACAGTATTGGAGGTGGGCCTTTAACCTCTGCACACATGTACATGGATGTGCACCACACATATACAAACATATTAACACACACATACATATACTGCATACATACAAAATACACTAATAAGAAAGATTTGGTAGAACCGATTTATAATCGCTGCTCCCTGACAGTCTGAAGCAGGGGGATCATGACGAGTTCCAACCAGCCTCTGCTAGATAGGTAAATACTGTCTTAAAAACAATAAACAAACAAACAAAAATTAGTGAAAAATTAAAAACATTATTATAACTACTCTTTTTTTCCAATTTATTATATTTATTTTACTACTGTGATTTTTTTTTTTTTAATAAGGCAGTCAGTGGAACCAAACTATGGCTTTCTAGCCAATATTATTACTTCTTACAAGTTGCAACATTACTAAAAATAATTACACTGGACAGAGGAGAGGAGGTTATAAGCTAGCTGCTTTCCAAACAAAAGCTGGGTACTCCCCTGCTGTGGAGATCCATTCTTTGGCAAGACCTCCAACATCCCCACAGAATTTTGGAAACAGAGCTCAAATAAGGTGATGTCTCTGGCAAGGAGGTGTATGTATTACTTGGAGCTTCTTATTAAATTTCTGGTCCTTGTCCATTTTCCTAAGTGTGAAAGGAGAAAGATGTTTTCCATCCTCAGAACCTCCTGTCAGAGAGTGGAAGGTTTCTCCACACTGACACTATTGACAGGCCAGACAACTCATTAGGGGGAACTGCCTTGAGCATATGTTCAGCTACATCCCTGTGTTTACCTTCTAAATACCAGAAGTACTTCCTCCTTGACTGTGACAACAGAATTGCCCGCCAGAAATCACTCAGTTGAAAACCATGGTAAGAGACGGAGTTCCGGCATTGCTTTGCTGAAATGGTTCCCTTTTATGTTGTTGAACTTGGCCAATGCTGTTGAGCTCTCCCTCTTGTTCTTCTCCCCTGACCCCACACCTAGAAATCAAAAATAATACCATCTATTCTGATTTGATATAAAGTTCACAAGAGATAACACACACAGGGAAATGACTTGTACAGCTTCATAAAGTCATTATGATAGACAGGTCAAGAATCAGATGTAATGACTCAATTGGGGAGGGGGGCAAATGAATCTCTTCAATAGATGCAGAACTCAATTTCATCTTTATTTCAGTCCCTCAAACCTTAATTGTCCAATTAAAGGTGATTTCCTCTTTTCTAAATTAAAAGAGGCTCTTCCACTCAACACAATCCCTTTGGAGATCAATTCAAAGGACAAATGCTTATGATTTTTCTCTCCTCAGCATCTCTCTCGAGGTTGTATATTGGGGTCAGGTGTAACTTATCAGTCCTATGATGGTGAGTGGTAGAGTTTCAATCCACATGTTGGCCTCAGGTCTGTGCTAACCTCTGGGATATTTGAGACTGAGTTCATAGTGTTCATCTTGTTCTTTGGAGATTAATGTGTCTTCCCAGACCTGGCCTCTACGAGTGGGGTCTCTGCATCCTGAAGTCACCTTATTGATCACCTAGTCTGTTCTTGTCCTTCATGTCTTTCATCAACCAGAATCTGTGCATATTAGCATATAGGGCTTCAAGCCAACTTACCTGGACACCTTCCCGGCCCTCATCCTGCTGCCTTGGAGCTATCTTGGAGGATGAGTTGTGTGGACCAAGGACTCTCTTTAGGTCAGGTGTAAGTGATTTTTCTATTTCCTTATCTGTGTGGTCCTGCTCATCATCCTTTCTTCCTTCCCACTTGAAACAATCCAAGTTGTTCTGAACCTCCTCAGAACTACAACGACCACCACCACCACCCCTCTCCTGTGGAGTAAGGGATTCTTTTATCTTTTCATTTTGAAACAAGGTCTCACTGTGCAGCCCTGGATAGCCTTGAACTCATGATGCTCCTGCCTCCACCTCTCAAATGCTCAAGATACAGGCATGCCCCACTATGTTTTTTTCTCACTGCTCTAGTTTCCTTTCTGTTGTGGTGATAAAATTCTAACCAAAAGCAACTTAGGGGAGGAGAGGGTTTATTTGGCTTGTACTTTCAGGTCCCAGTCCACCACGGAGGGAAGTCAGAGCAGAACTCAAGCAGGAACTTGAAGCAGAAACCATGGGGATTCACTAGCCGGCTCACTTTCCAGTTAGCTTTTCTTATAGAGCCCAGGACAACATGCCTAGAGAGTGTTGCCGCCCTCAGTGGGCTGGGCTCTCCTACACCAATCAATAGTGAACGCAATCCTCCCCAGGCCAGTGTGGTCTGGATAGTGCCTCAGCTGAGACTCGTTTCTTAGGTGACTCTAGGCTATGTCAAATTGACACCTGTAATTAAGTAGGACACTCCTCCCTTAACAATTTATCTACTCGAACCTATGAAACATTGTTTTTTTTTTTTTTTTGCTCCTTCCAAGGGATAGCAGATTTATCGAAACATTGATGTCCATTTCAAAAACACTCACAGAGTTATGGTGAGGGTTCGTGGCCAGGTGTTGGGAAGAATTCTGTGAAAATGAAAAAGCATGTTCCAAATTATCTTCAGACTTCTGCCAGCTGTCCTCCCACATGGAAATAATCTGTTGCCCTTGAAGATCCAAACTCACCCTCAGAGAGACTGCGGTGCAAGCTTTGAAAACCCCCTTGCTTTTCCGAGTTGTCCTTTCTCTACCCTTCTTCCACTGTCCTCTGCCTTCGCTCTGGGCTGGTTTCCTGTGTGGATTGTCCCTGGAAAGAAGCCCTTGGGTGAGCAGAGGGCTTCTTTTCTGGGGAAGTCAGACCGATACAGCTGCGCTGGCAACCAGTGTTTCCAAGGAGGGTCGCCAAGCATGTGGGGCCTCTCCTGAGAGAGCTCAGACAACATTCCCTCATGGAAAAACCATTCAAGTATGTTTCTTCAGAACCACGAGAGAAGTCCAGGGCGGACTCGCGGACTCTTTACTAGCCACAGGAACCTCAAAAGTAACTGCCCATAGCTCTGTCAGCAGTTGTCCCTGGAAATTCAGATCCTTCAGCCTGTTCAGGGCCAACTCTGCATTCCTGGTGTCACCCCCAAACTTATGCTACATGCGTGTGACACACACATGAATGGGCACACCTCCCCTTGGACTTGATTTAGAAGTCTGGATTTGTATAATGGAACTTCCTGTGCTACACAGACTAAAATAACTCTGGAATTCCTTTTGGGGTAGATTTTAATTAGGAAAGACATAGCACTTAAATTATGCTTATTGCTTTCAGTTGCTCGTACAGATTGTGGATTAAGAAAAGACCACAAGAGTCATATGAACTATATTTTTTTTTTAATGGGATGGATCTGGTAGGGGAAAAAATTCTACTCCGTGCCAGAATCCTGGGTAATGGGCATCATGGTCATTATCTTACTTGGTCAAGAGGTGAGAGTTTGAGCAACTGGTCTAATTGGGAACCAAATGCTTTAGGAGCTATCAGGGAGCATGCCCTTAGCATTATTCAGGGACACCTCCCTGCAGCCACTATTCACCTGTTAGGGCGTCTGGCCATCACCAATAGAGATAGGATGGGGCCTATGTGTAACTAAATGAATTGTGAGTGTGACGGAGATATTCAGAGTGAATCGCATGAATAAGAAGTATGTGTGTGTGTGTGTGTGTGTGTGTGTGTGTGTGTGAACAAGGTCTGAGCCACAGACGTCGCTTTTGCTCCATTTGTAGTGTACAGTTCCACTTGCCAATGAATGGCTATCATTTTGCTGAGACTTAAAATTTGGTATTATATTTTTAAAGGTTCCTGGCTCCTGCCTTTCTTTCCTAAATCTTGATGAAAATTAATTTTCAGCCTACAACTATGATTTTACTCAAAAGCCTCAAGCCACCTGACTTTGTATTTTTGTGTGTGTGTGTGTATGTATGTGTGCATGTGTGCATGTGTGCACACGCATACGTGGAGGCCAGAGGGCAACACTGGCCATCTTCCTCAATTGCTCTCCACTTTCCTTTTTGAAATAGGGTCTCCCACTGACCACCTGGGGCTTGCTGAAGTAGCTGGATGGACTGGCCAGCTAGATGGAAGGTCCAAGAGATCTTCCAGCCTCAGCCTGCTGGGGCTGGAATTACAGGTGTGCGGCCCACACCCAGCTTTTAAATGGGTGCTTTTGAATTGAAATCTGGTCCTCACATTTGTGCCTCACATTTTGCCAGCTGGGCCATCTCCCCAGCCCCTGACTTTGCAGTTCTTTAACAGTCACATGACTCTAATTGCGGCAGCTGCCTAGTTTTTCCTAAGGGTCCTAGATGATTACTAAGCAGCCATTTTTCCGTTCTCTGTTTTTCTGCTAAAGAATTGTGGGGCCTCAGATGTATCACGTGTCTTTTACCATAACCATTGAACAAGTATTTATTCATCATCTCTTGCCAGCTAGTCTGTATTCTAGACGATGGCAGGGATGGAGCTGTGAATGGTAGTGAACATGGCAGGGAGGACAGGGAAGGGAATGAACAGGGTAGTTCCAGGTTATAATGAAAACTGTGAAGAGACTGAGAGAGAGTGGCACTAAAGGGCTGTGATGGTGGGGAGGGGGTAGACCATCAGGAGAGACGCTCAAAAAACCCAAAAGCTTTTAAAACTGAGACATGATTCATGAGGGGAAGAAACCATGCCTCCATCTGAAGAAAGAAGAGAGACGTACAGCAGCAAGTGCCAAGGCCTTGATGCAGGGAATGGACACCTCAGTGGGCCTGGTGGGATGTGGAGGGGTCCAGCACGGGCACATAGCACGTGGAAGAGCTTACAGGCCATGGTATGAAGCTCGGGTTGTATTCTAAAAGCGGTGAAAATATTTGGGAAGTTTTAACAGAGGGGAGGCTTGCTCTGGTTTACATTTGAAAATGATCCCTCTGGCTGCCATATGGCGAATGAATTAGAAAGAGGCTTGCACGCCAATTGAGTGGAAAAGTCCACAGTGGAAGAGATGGTCGCCTGGACTCTAGGTAGGGACATTATGGAAAAGCCTGGATCCCACGGGTAAGTAAGACCACAGGAAATAGTCAGTGCTTAAGCCCACTGAACCATCTGCTCCAGGCCTACTATATGGTAGTGCAAATATGCTTGAATCCGGGGCTGGAGAGGTGGCTCAGAGGTCAAGAACCCTGGCTGTTCTTCCAGAGGTCCTGAGTTCAATTCCCAGCAACCACATGGTGCCTCACAACCGTCTACAATGAGATCTGGTGCCCTCTTCTGGCCTGCAGGCTGAACACTCACTGTATACATAATAAATAAATGAATCTTTAAAAAAAAAAAATATGCTTGAATCTTCCACTCCCAAACGGTGCTTTCTGCTGGGTGACCTGGTCAACGGGGACTGCTAATGTCTCCACGGGAACTAGAGTGACATGGTCTGAGCCATGACCACATACCAGCATCTCTGACATCCATCTTCCTGGAATGCCGGTCACAGAATAAGCCATGGGAGGCCACCAGGAAAGGGCAGGGGAAAAACAAAAGAGCTGAGAGACCCTGAACTCCTTGTGGAGCATCTGACCCTGAAGACGTCTGAGGAAGACACAGACAGACAGAAAAGAAGAGGCCCATGTCCGTCCAAGATCACTAATGTGGATGGCAGAAAGACAGAAAGACACAGAAAGACATAAAGATGCTGGGCACGAGAAGGCCAGTGACTTGCACTTTCAGATGAACTTGAGGGTGTGTGCTCCCTGAAGTGAGGCCCTGCTGCAAAAGCCTCCCAGCCTCCTCTTTTTCTAGCAATTCACACCTCCTCTGGAAGTAAGGATAGAATTTCCGAACATTTCTAAGAGTTCTGTATTCCCCAGTCATCCTGTGAGCATCAATGCTACTCTACCAAGGGTGTCACTGCTGCGTCACAGTATCTTATATGTTACATCCTAGTGTGAGCCTTTCTCTGTAGCTGTGCCTTCTCCACAGGAGGATGGCCTCCTTGAAAGGGTCTTGCTTGCTTGTGCAGCCTTGGGCCATACCCAAGGACCTTATATGCAGTCGGCAATCCACAAAAAGCTGCTCAACAGTTAGCTGTATGACATTCCTAATCATTCTTCGTTGTTAATCTCTGTTGGCTACAGATGCTTTCGAGAAAAACGATGATAGTCATGGATCCTTTCCTCCAGAAGAACCCATACACAAGAGACTATTTCCTTGCAGGCATGGTGGTGCATACCTGTGATCCCATCACTCAGGAGGCTGAGGCAGGGGGCTGTCGAATTTGAGGCAAGCTTAGACTGTATAGGAAGAACCTTTCTCAGAGGAGATGGCAATTAACACAGAAACCCTCTACTGATGAAGGTATAAAGAATGAGACTGTGGAGTGCCCACCCTAAATGGGACATCTACACACACACATCCCCAAGGCTTAGGGACCATTTCAGAAGAAGGGGCAGAAAGGATTAAGAACCAGAGGCGGTAGGTGACTGCCAGGAAAGAATGCTTCCAGACACAACAGGACAGTTGCACATAGAAACCCATAGTGGTTGTGACAGTGCACACAGACCAGTGCAACCTCAGGGCAGAACAAAACCCTGCACACAGACCAGTGCAACCTCAGGGTAGGAAAAAAAAAACCTGCACACAGACCAGTGCAACCTCAGGGCAGAACTAAACCCTGCAAACAAGACCAGTGCAACCTCAGGGTAGAAAAAAACCTGCACACAAGACCAGTGCAACCTCGGGGCAGAAAAAAAAAAAAAACACAGAAGGAGGAGGCAGTCACTAAGTCCCACCCCTAGCTGAGGAGTTATTGGCATTTGATAGCTTCTGGAAGAAGGAGAGATTGTTTTCTTTAAAGGATGTGACCCCTGGTAGGTCAGCCATGCCTTAGGGCAGGCCCCATGTCCAAGAGTATCTGGGCAATACAAATTGTACTTGATAAATTTTAAAGAAAGATGGCAGGAGAGGGGAGGAGAGGAGAAGAGAACAGAGGAGAGGGGAGAAGAGCAGAGGAGAGCAGAGGAGAAGAGAGGGGAGGAGAGCAGAGGAGAGGAGACAAAAAGTCAAGCTAGTATGGAGATGTGGGATCTGGGAGGACTCGGGGGTGAATATGATCAAAACACATTATATGAAAGTCTCAAAGAGTTAGTAAAAGTATTATTTAAAGATAATTTCATCTTGTATCTAAAGCCTCCATATCCCCATAAATCGGCTGTTTATTTAGTTATTGTCCCAACATCATTGAGTGAATTGCTTTCTTGGGTCATGCTCTTTCTAAATTGTTGCTATCATGAGTCACATAACTGAAATCATCTTGGAACAGAAATTGACAAGGTTCTTTCTCGAACAATATGGCACGTAAGCTATTTCTCTTCACTATCAAGTCCAATTATTATAATATGTAATACCAAAAAATTAAACACAAGATTTCCATGTGTGCACATGCTCCTGCGTGTGGAAGTGCAGATATACATGTGCCCATGTGGAGGGCAGAGGAGAACCTTGGGTGCTATTCCTCAAGTGTCATCCACCTTGTTTTGAGTTTAGGCCTCTCACTGGCCTTGAACTCACCATGTAGGTTAGCCTGGCTGGCCATTGAGCCCTGAGTGCACCTGCCTCCTCCTCTCCAGTCCTGGATTCTACCACAGCCAGACTTTTTTGCATGAGTTCTGGGGGTCAAACTCAAGTGCCCATGCTTGCAAAGCAAGCAAGATTTTACCAACTGAAACATCTTCTCAACCCAATACATTATATTTTTATTTTTTATAGTTGGTAAAATTGAATACCAAAATTTAAAAGTGACTTATTCAAAGCCACCATATCTCTT